AATGACGATTGTTTTACACGTCATCCCATCATGTATCGATTTTACAACATCGGAATCCATTCGAATCTGTCAACAATATGATCCACGATGTTCGATGGAATATTTCTCCTCACAGAAACAAAATATCGTGTGATTGGTTTTTGTTTTAGGTGAACGACAAATCATTGTCGCATCAAAAATCGATAAACATGATCAAGGCATCGGAGAAAAACTGCAGGGAATCGGAGCTGGATCAATTTATTTATCCTTAGGTTGTGTTGCTGTTCTCAATCGTAAACAAGAGGAAATCGATGGGAAAGTTTCATTTGCCGAAATGAGACGACGAGAAGAGAATTTCTTTCGGACAAATCCAGCGTTTCTCAATGTTCCGAAAGAATATTTAGGTAGTCGAGAGTTAGTGAAGAAACTCGTTTCTATTCAACAAGATCGCATTCGCTCGATCTTACCGACGATCATCGATGAAGTCAAACAAAAGCTTCAAGAAACGCGTAACATTCTCAGCCAACATCCATCGGCGATTTTGACCGAAAACGATGCACGAATAGCTTTTATCGAAATTCTTCGAAATTATCGTACAGAGGTGGAAAAATGTTGCAAAGGTGATTATGCGATTGATACGGAAAAAGCAACAAACGGTTTCGATCCACTTAACACTCAAAACTGGGATGAACGGATTGCTTTTCATCTGAAGATGTTTGTCAAAGCGATTTCAACACAACTTCATGAGATTTTATCGAAATTTTCTTTAACAAAACAAAAGACAAACATTGCGAACATAATCGATGAAAACTACGGCGGTGGTTTGCCAAACTTTCCAACATCGAATATTGTCCAACAACTGTATCAACCATGCCATAAGAAGCTTGAAGAACCTTGTAAACAACTGGTCGCCTATGTCGCGAAATACATGGTCGCATGTCTGGAATATATTCTAAAGAAGGTTTTACCTGCGGAAGCCAGTTACAAGGACGCACTAGTACATGAGATCAGTAAAATTGTGAAAGCTACAATTGAAAAAAGTAAAGAAAAGTGTCTCGAAAGTGTGCAACAAATGTTAGAAATGGAAGAAAGAGTCTTCACGGTCAATCCACAATATATGAAAACTTTCACCGAATTGAAGAAAAGCGAACGTGAGAAATGATTTGTAGTTGAAATTGAAGATTTATTTTCTATTTCTAGCGGAAAATGATACTCTGTTGGGTCTTCGATCGTATTGTTCGATTGTTCACGCTCGAATTGTTGATCATCTGTCTCAACTTTGCGTCTATTGGTTTGTTCGCAATGGTTTACTTGCTCTCGATAAGAAGTTAAACACCGCATTCACTCCTGCTGAACTTTTGAAGATCATGAAGGATTTACCGATTGTCGAACAGAAGAGAGCTGCGCTAAAAAGAAGTATCGACTCAATGGAACGAGCGCTGGCTACTGCAGAAGAGGACTAAACAGAAAGTTTTTTAATTTCATCCAAATCAATGCGACTTTTTCAAAAGAAATATATGTCATCTGCGTGAATAATAATAGAAACTATACTTTTGACACTTTCGGAATTTGTACTCAAGATTCATCTCATTTTGGTCTACCGCAGTAACATGTGCATGAACATCTTGAATTCACGATAATGAATGTAAATGAGTTGAGTAAATAAAAGAAGCATGTGATTATGCAATGCATATCGTTGAACTAGTTGTGAATAGATAACAAATCGACTGTCAGCATTCTCCATTGGATATGCTATTTGATACGAGCACTTGTTCGAGTGTCCATATAGCAACGCGCTGCGGACTGTTTAGAATATAAAGTCATGTGTGATGATCAATCATATTTATAAACCTCTGCTTCAACTTTGGTATTGCTGCCACACATGCACATGGAAAAGCCAGATGTGAATTGAGCGAACGGGCCTATCGCATCAGAAAAGTTCAACGTTGTCGAAATAAACGAAACGCTCAATAGTTACCAAGTCGTTTCGCGATTTTGACACCAACCAACTTCATAGTCGAATTCGTTTTCGCATGAATGGGAGAAAGTAGCATGATAACAATGGGATATATTGAAAAACGAAGTATGTAACCTGTTAAGAAAAAATTCGTTTGTTCACAATTTCGGAGTAAAGCGAAAAGACTTACGATCTAATGATGTTCAACGCATGATAATAAAGTCGGCGTAGTACGCCCAATAGTTCCTTGAATTCCAAAAATAATATGTTGCTGACGTTGCTGGCTGTAAAGTACCTCGGTTTAGTGATCCAAGTACAAAAGATAAATAAAAAATCAATTGGAAAAAGTTGGACAAAAGCAAAACAAAAATAACATAAATTATTTGTAAAATATTGTATTTAATTGGAATCATTTTCAGTATGTTCCAATGGTTTGTAACATCAAACGTATCGTTGTCTGACATGTTAGTTGTCAAACAAAGGTTTTTAGGCGTTGAATTTAATCATTAGCAAAATTAAGCTAAATGTAGACGGCCAAGCACGCATTTCGGTTCAAAAAGCATTCTAATTATCCTCATAATAACAAGAAGCTGTGTCTCCTCTTCTTCCATTCTCATGAAATTTATCGGCAAATTATTCAGCAGTGTCGATAGTTCATGATAATTAACCAATCAAGCAGGTTTATTCCAAGGTAATGTAGAATGCCTCATCAGCAATTTCGCACATATTTTCGTTAGGAATCATTTTGAAATATCCATTCTCACCCCAACCTTCTCCCCACCCCCCCCCTCCAACTATTTCGAACTATAGCCAATATAGAATTTGTTTAGCATTCATGCCATAACCGACGATAACGACTGTGTGATGGCCTTTTTATCGAGTAGAGTCAAATCTCTTGTTGCTCGAATCGACTGCTGATACCATCTCATATTCATTCGACACCTGAACATACTTTTTAATACGAGCGACATTACTTTCTTGTTGTCTCGATTTTTCAATACGTTTTCATATTTCCTAAGGTATTGTGATCGTTGCCTAGTCTACAAGAAACGATATCCATTGCACGAGATCGATTCTCGATATGCATTGAGAGCTGTCCCTTGCCCTATTGAACGATTAGAAATTGTGAAATTCGTATCACGAAAACAATCCGTACGTTCGCGACCAATTGATCGGATTAAATCTAATGTTTTATCACCGAATGATCCCTCGCGACATGTTGCTGTATAAACCAGTCACAATCAATTAACATCTGTCGATTTAAACTAAGGCGAACATTATTCTTCAATGCATAGACACCTTCCACTGCAGCGGAAACATCCTGAGCGACACAGGAACCACACTTACCCTGATCTGTCACTGACTGCATATAGTATTTACGGTGATCATCACTTGATTTCGGTATGTCGAGTGATTTCGTTGACGGTTGCAATGACCGTCCAAAGCGTCGGGACTTCTTGACTCGAGAGCCGGTGTGAAATTTTCGTATTTCATCAATCGTCAAATGACTGAATTTGTTCAGTGCCAAGTTAAAATTTCTTCTACCATCACGAAAATCGAGGCGAGATGTTGTGATATATTTGAAATTTTCTTTGAACAATGGAACACAATAATTAGTTATATTATTAAACATTTTTTCACAGGCACATAAGGGGGAAACAGCGATACTCTAGAATCTGAATTATTGTTAGAGTACGATTGGAGTAAGAATGGCTTGCGGTGGACGGCTTAAGCTCATGCCCCAGCCTACTCTACACGGAAAAGAAATTCCGTAGAGTGATAAACTCTCCAAAGCGGTTAGTCAATGAAAACTTCGTTTATTGGCCTGATCAACCCCTTGATAAATTCTTTTTTCAATGTACTCGTACTCTAACATACTCCAACGATATCCAGTCGAAAAGAACAATTTGATTAGAATATGAGTGGATTGTTGCCGAATTAAATTGGAGTACTCAGGTTGAATTACTGTGAAAGGTCAGCTCGTGTGTAAGTGTCAATCGCAATACTTAATTGTCAACTACGCACACGATAAATGAACTTTGAAAATGCAGATGAATGACGGTTAAAGCGTTGGATTATTGATCAATTGGGCCAATGAAATTTCTTTGTAAAAGGTTTTCTGCTTTAATATTAATCGTATCTGATCGAGGCAGGGAAAATTTACTTCCGATTAGGGGTGTTACTTTATCTTTAAAAATAACGATAAAGATTTCACCTTTACTTTATTCTTTATTTAAAGAAAAATAAAGATAAAGTAACACCCTTACTTCCGATTGTAAATCGTTTTTCCTACTTACATTCCAACAACAAAACGGCACTTTTTCATAATATCCTTAGCTACCGACAACAGAGAGTGGGAAGTTTACCCATAAAAATCACTTTTCTTTTCTCGGCCAACGACAATTCATGACGACGTTTGCATTCATTTTCTTGAAAAAAAGTTTTCTAACGCGTAAATCTGTCATTTTTCTCGCTATTCATTTCTCTGAGTATATAGAAAATCTCAAATAATAAGGTATGTCTGTATGTTAGTTTTTTCCCAACTATATCGCAGTATTCTCGATTCTACCGTAGGCTATATGTATGAGCTACGGAGTAACATCTACAATGATCAGGATACTTCATTTACATTTTATGTTTTAGACACAATGGCTACAAATGCGCATACCACTGCTGACAAAGCAATCAGTAAAAGTTTTGGATCAATATCACCAGAAGAGATACAAGAAGGGAAAGAAGTATTTGAAACCGATGGTGTAAAAGGGTATGAAGCGTATCTACAAAACAAAATAGATGCATGGAAAACTATTCCTTTAAACATTGGCATCGTTGGGAACGCTGGTTCCGGAAAGTCAAGCTTCATCAATGCCGTCAGAGATTTAAATGGAGATGATGAAGGTGCAGCAAAAGTTGGAGTTACAGAAACAACTAAGGAACCAAGAGCATATTCTCATCCAAATAATGAGTTAATGAAGTTTTGGGATTTACCAGGCGCTGGAACTCCATCATTTCCAAAAGAATCTTATCTCGAACGAATTGGTTTTGACAAATTTGATTTCTTTCTTATCGTTACCCATAAAAGGTTCACTGAAACCGATGCCCAACTTGCGCAAGAAATAACAAACAAGGGAAAGCAATTCTTTTTTGTTCGAACGCATATTCAACAGGATATTGAGAATGATAAAAAGACTCATCCAAAAAAGCACAAAAAAGAACAAGAATTAGTAGATGAAATACTTAGAAATTTAAAAGAAAATCTTCGAGCTCTTTTACAAGAAGATAAAGTCTTTCTTATCGACAATTACGAACGAGACAAATTCGATTTTAATCGGTTGGCACAAAGTCTCATCGAAGATTTTCCAGATCTTAAGCGACAAGCATTTATTTTTTCCATAAACGCGTTTAGCAAACAAATGGTAAAGGCAAAAGTTATGGAACTTCACTCGACAATATGGGAATATAGTGTGTTGTCTGGTTTGGTGGCTACTGTTCCTTTGCCTGGTCTCTCTTTCGCCGTCGATTTAACGTTCATTGTTAAATTAAGCAAGTTCTTCTTTAATCAACTTGGTCTTGACGAATCTTCCCTGGAGAGAACGGCCAGCCTTGCAAATACAGATCCATCGACATTGAAAACCATTGTTAAAAAGAATTTTGATGTGAGCTTGTTTCTTACATCACAAGGGATCAAGGAATTTCTGGTTACCATCCCAGCTGCAATACTTTCAGAGGCAGCCGAAGAATATTTGCGTTTGCTTCCTGGTATTGGCTCTTTGATTGCAGCACCAATCTCAGCTGGTACTACTTATTACATTCTCGACCAGATCTTGAAGAAAATGGAGGAAGTCGCCTTACTAGTTCTAGAAACGACTACTCAGGAAGTTTCCACCGATGCGGCAGATGAAGAACAAAACTAAAGCAATACTGCTTCATTCTCGAAAAGACATTGTCGAAAGTCGGAAAAGTAAGGCGTTTTCTGTAACAAGAATTTGAATTAAATAAACTACACGAAACATTCTTCACTTCGGACTATCATCTCGTATCATTATAATCCATAGTGTCACACAGTACCTGAACGAATATTTCAACCGTCTAATACTCATTTTGTAATAACTGCTGTAATAGTTCTGATACCAGAATTTATCCGAGACACTTTCACTTCGATTACGAAAATATCTGGTGAATGTATCGTTCATTTATGATGTTCACATTGCTTTTCACATTTACTCAAAACCAAAATATCGAATGTTGTTGCTGCAAGATGAAATCTATCGAAAAGCGAATTGAACGAAGCGGCGGTAAAAGATTTCCCATAACAATCGTTTTAGTGTACAACAATAAAGTAAATTTTTACAGCTGTTTTTCGATTTAAGTGTTCTGTAGAGTGTAAAATTCCTGTTCTGATATTATATGAAAAATACTCTACATATTGAATAGAAGAATTCTATCAAATGCTTTTCAGCATTTCCAATTCGACCATGGTTGAGACATCGGTATGTAAATATTCTCATCTTTTCATTTCTGTAACGTCATACCGTTACGATAACAACTGGGTATTTTGATATGCCACTGAGCAAATATTTTATATAATTTCTATTTTCTCTGCTATACGAAGAATACTTGAGGCAATCGGACGATTTGTCATGAAGAAAACAGTTCAAAGATAACTTTTTCAACGTGAAACAGAACAATCGAAACTTCATAATGTTTTGATCTGTATGCTATAACATATTTGAGTTTCGTAACTACTCTGCCTGTTCGTACGAGACGATGTTATAAGAGAAGAAGGAGATGCGGATGATAATCGCCTTACTTCTTCGAGCTATCATATTAAATTCAAAATTGATTCCCGATATGTCGTTTTGAAAGGGATATTTGCGTACAAGACAAATAGCAACACTTTCTCGTACTTTGCTTCTGCTCTCCTTATTCGGGTACATAGTATTTTATCCTAGTTTTTCTTTCTGATGTTATATTTATGACAGAACGAAAGAAGAAAAATGCACGACATACGACAAGAAAAGAAAAAGCAAACTGGATCATTTATAAAACACGTGGGCTTCTCTGCACAACACAACGGTCTTTTCTTTTCAAAAAACATCGCTTCAATAAACAAAATGCAGAATAAGAAAATAGCAGCGAACATTTTCACGATTTTTAAGAGCAGAGAACCAAGAAAGATCTATTCATCTCCAATAATCCAAGGTCAAAACTTTTACTCACATCCGAATTGTTTTTCCATAAGCAAAACTAAATTCGATATCTTTTAACACAACTTAACAGTTGGTTCGATCGCTTTTCTCTCGAAATCTCCATATATAAGTATGCATTCTTTTCTATTGTATATCACATTGCGTGTGTGTTCGCTCATGCGCATACAAGGAGAATGTATATGATCGTGAAGATCGAATTACATTGAAGATTTTTTTTTCTCTAGATGACAGCAACGATCCCCTCGGTAATTTCATGTCAAGAATTGAAAGATTTGCTTCAATCATCATCACAACCAATTGCAATACTTGAAGCGGATCTTGGCAAGCAAGTCGAGGCTGATTTCAAAGCGTAGATAATTTCGAATTACTTGATTTTTAGATCAGCCTTTGTATTTCTTTTAGAGGTCATATTCCCAAAGCCCGATATTTCGATCAACTTGAACATACAACGCCAACGGCATTTATTCCACGTGGTTTACCAGATGTTAAATCTTTTGAAGATTATCTGACACGTTTGGGGGTTTCAAATGATCATCATATTATTCTCTATGATCGATCAGCAAATGGCTTCTTCGCTGCAAGTCGTGCTTGGTTTTTGTTGAAGGTAATCGGATGATTCCTTTTCAAAACTTAGAGCAAATGTCGTGCTTAGACGTATGGTGCTGACAAAGTGTCGATTCTCAATGGTGGATTCAATGCATGGAAGAAAGAAGATAATGAAATAGAAAAATCGGATGAATCGAACGATTCGACAAAAGAAGGACAGGTAAAATATCGTAGATAAAGGAATGTTTTATGCACCATTTCATTCATTAGACAAACAAATTTACTGTCAAGTTAAACGAACAAATGGTACGAAATTTCGATCAAATGGTATCAAATATATCTTTGGATAAAGATAATCCTGAACGTATCCAAGTATTCGATGCTCGACCACCGAATCTATTCAATGGTATGTTACATTTATTTCCAGAGAAAGCACATTTCTGTGCATCTTTTAGGTGCTGATGCTGGGCACATGCCTAATGCAGTTAATTTACCTTACGGATCTCTATTCGATCAAAACCAACATTTGAAATCGAAAGAGCAATTAGCACAAAGTAAATTGTCGATTTGTACACATTTCTTACTGAATTATCAATTTTAGTCTTTGACAAAGCTGGTGTTGATCTGTCGAAACCTACGATATACACGTGTCAAGGTGGAGTAACAGCTAGTGCATTAGCTTTTGTTGCACAACTACTCGGTCAAAAGGAACCATCGGTCTATATGGTAGGAAAGGGATTGTTGTAATGGATAAAAAGAAACAGATTTTTCTGTTAGGGCGCATTTACTGAATGGCAACAACGCGCTCCTGCTGATTTAATAATCAAAGGCGATGGAACACCCACTACCCAATGAGAACTACGACTGACTTCTATTTATCACATAGCCATTTTCTCTCTTATCCTTTCAATAAAATCATAACTATTATGGTCTCATAGATAACTCTTGTTCGCAATATCTAAGCCAGAAATTTCTTCAGAGTCATTTTTCGATTAAAACAAACAATAGTTCAATGTTAAAATTGAATTATTAGTTTGTAGTGTTTCGGTAAAGTTTTCATTGCAGGTCTGACCAGAACTTTTCGATGCGATCGTTCACATACTAAGCACAGTTTCCGTTTCAGCGTTCTGCGTAAATCCGGATATTGTCATAAACATGCAAATGGAAACAGAAACACAACGAAATAGCCAAAGTAAAAGAAATAAAGCTCAGGTTGAATACCGAAGTCAGATGGTAAACCAAATCGACGAAGAAGTGGAATGAGAAAAATCGGAGTGTTGAGAGAGACATCTAGAGCAGAAACTAAAGTTAATTGAATGATCATTCGTCGTTGTTTAGACTATCGATGGATTTCCACATTCGAAGAATAATATATACTAAGAGAATTGATAATGGGAGATGATGAAAAAGAAATCGACCTCGTCGATTAGAGATCCATTGATCATAAAAGATCAGAATGTGTCTTTCGATAGCTAACCACGACATGAGAATAATCTGTCCACAATAAAAACCATAATCAATCAACCACCATATTCGACACATGACGGGTATTGTGGGTAAAATAGTACCAAAATGAAAGAAGACAAGATACATGTTGATATCGATGAGTTGAATAGGTAGACCAAACAATAAGATAAGAAGAATCGTATGATTATGCAATGCATATCGTTGAGTTCGATTTCCAATGATATAAAATATGAGAGAAAAGGTGTAGATGATTGATCATCCGACAGCTATTCTCTGTTCAATAGCAAAATAGAAATCGAAGGTACACGAACATTTANTCGATGAAAACTACGGCGGTGGTTTGCCAAACTTTCCAACATCGAATATTGTCCAACAACTGTATCAACCATGCCATAAGAAGCTTGAAGAACCTTGTAAACAACTGGTCGCCTATGTCGCAGAATACATGGTCGCATGTCTGGAATATATTCTAAAGAAGGTTTTACCTGCGGAAGCCAGTTACAAGGACGCACTAATACGTGAGATAAGTAAAACTGTGAAAGCTACAATTGGAAAAAGTAAAGAAAAATGTCTCGAAAGTGTGCAACAAATGTTAGAAATGGAAGAAAGAGTCTTCACGGTCAATCCACAATATATGAAAACTTTCACCGAAATGAAAAAAAGCGAACGTGAGAAATGTTTTGTAGTTGAAATTGAAGATGTATTTTCTATTTCTAGCGGAAAATGATACTCTGTTGGGCCTTCGTTCGTATTGTTCGATTGTTCACGCTCGAATTGTTGATCATTTGTCCCAACTTTGCGACTATTGGTTTGTTCGCAATGGTTTACTTACTCTCGATAAGAAGTTAAACACCGCATTCACTCCTGCTGAACTTTTGAAGATAATGAAGGATTTACCGATTGTCGAACAGAAGAGAGCTGCGCTAAAAAGAAGTATCGACTCAATGGAACGAGCGCTGATTACCGCAGAAGAGAACTAAACAGAAAGTTTTTTTTATTTCATCCAAATCAAAGCGACTTTTTAAAAAGAAATAAATGTCATCTGCGTGAATAATAATAATAGAAACTATAATTTTGACACTTTCGGAATTTGTACTCAAGATTCATCTCATTTTGGTCTACAATAACATGTGCATGAACATTTTGAATTCACGATAATGAATGTAAATGAGTGTTGAGTACATAAACGAAGCATGTGATTATGCAATGCATATCGTTGAACTAGTTGTGAATAGATAACGAATCGACTATCAGCATTCTCCATTCGATATGCTATTTAATACGAGAACTTGTTCGAGTGTCCATAGCAACGCACTGCGGAGTGTTTAGAATATTAAGTCATGTGTGATGATCAATCATATTTATAAACCTCTGCTTCAACTTTGGTATTGCTGCCACACATGCACATCGAAAAGCCAGATGTGAATTGAGCGAACGGGCCCATCGCATCAGAAAAGTTGAACGCTGTCGAAATAAACGAAACGCTCGATAGTTACCAAATCCTTTCGCGATTTTGACACCAACCAACTTCATAGTCGAATTCGTTTTCGCATGGACGAGAGAAAGTAGCATAGATATAATAGATAACAATGAGACATATTGAAAAACAAAGTGTGTAACCTGTTAAGAAAAACTTCGTTTGTTCACAATTTCGGAGTAGAGCGAAAAGACTTACGATCTAATGATGTTCAACGCATGATGATAAAGTCGGCGTAGTACGCCCAAGAGTTCCTAAAATTCCAAACATAATATGTTGCTGACGTTGCTGGCTGTAAAGTCCCTTGATTTAGTGATCCAAGTACAAAAGATAAATAAAAAATCAATTGGAAAAAGTTGGACAAAAGCAAAACAAAAATAACATAAATTATTTGTAAAATAATGTATTTAATTGGAATCATTTTCAGTATGTTCCAATGGTTTGTAACATCGAACGTACCGTTGTCTGACATGTTAGTTTGCAAAGCTTCCTTCAAGAAAAATGCAAATACTTAATTTTTGTGTTTCGGAAATTTTCCGATTTCCATATTGTAGTGGCTTATTGGTAGTTGTCAAACAAAGGTTTTTAGGCGTTGAATTTAATCATTAGCAAAATTACGCTAAATGTAGACAGCCAAGCACGCATTTCGGTCATGTAGTATTCTATTGTTCCAAAAGTATTCTAATTGTCCTCATAATAACGAGAAGTTGTGTCTCCTCTTCCTCCATTCTCATGAAATTTATCGGCAAATTATTCAGCAGTGATAGTTCATGATAATTAACCAATCAATCCGGTTTATTCCAAGGTAATGTAGAATGCCTCATCAGCAATTTCGCACATATTTTCGTTAGGAATCATTCTGAAATATCCATTCTCACCCCAACCTGTCCCTCCCCCTCCTACTATTTCGAACTATAGCCAATATAGAATTTGTTTAGCATTCATGCCATAACCGACGATAACGACTGTCTGATGGCCTTTTTATCGAGTAGAGTCAAATCTTGTGTTGCTCGAATCGACTACTGATACCATCTCATATTCATTCGACACCTGAACATACTTTTTAATACGAGCGACATTACTTTCTTGTTGCCTCGATTTTTCAATACGTTGCCATATTTTCTAAGGTATTGTGGTCGTTGCCTAGTCTACAAGAAACGACATCCATTGCATGAGAGCGATTCTCGATATGCATTGAGAGCTGTCCCTTGCCCTTTTGAACGATTATAAATTGTGAAAGTCGCATCACGAAAACAATCCGTACGTTCGAGACCAATTGATCGGATTAAATCTAATGTTTTATCACCGAATGATCCCTCGCGACATGTTGCTGTAAACCAGTCACAGTCAATTAACATCTGTCGACTTAAACTAAAGCGAATATTCTTCTTCAATGCATAGACACCTTCCACTGCAGCGGAAACATCCTGAGTGACACAGGAACCACACTTACCTTGATCTGTCACTGACTGCATATAGTATTTACGGTGATCATCAGTTGATTTCTGCATGTCGAGTGATTTCGTTGATGGTTGTTATGACCGTCCAAAGCGTCGGGATTTGTTGACTCGCGAGCCGGTGTGAAATTTTCGTATTTCATCAATCGTCAAATGACTGAATTTGTTCATTGTTAAGTTAAACTTTCTTCTACCATCACGAAAATCGAGACGAGATGTTGTGACATATTTGAAATTTTCTTTGAACTATGGAAGACGATAATTAGTTACATTATTAAACATTTTTTGATAGGCACATAAGGGGGAAACAGCGATACTCTAGAATCTGAAGTATTGTTGGAGTACTGTAGAGTATCACTGAAAACTTCGTTTATTGGCCAGATCAACCCCTTGATAAATTCTTTTTTTTCAATGTACTCGTACTCTAACATACTCCAATGATATCCGGTCGAAAAGAACAATTTGATTAGAATATGACTGGATTGTTGCCGAATTAAATTGGAGTACTCGGGTTGAATTACTGTGAAAGGTCAGCTCGTGTGTAAGTGTCAATCTCAATACTTGATTGTCAACTACGCACATGATAGATGAACTTTGAAAATGAAGATGAATGACGGTTAAAGCGTTGGATTATTGATCAATTGGGCTAATGAAATTTCTTTGTAAAAGGTTTTCTGCTTTAATATTAGTCATATCTGATCGAGGCAGGGAGAATTTACTTCCGATTGTAAAACGTTTTTCCTACTTACTGTAGAGCATCTACGTACATTCGTCACGCGTCTCCATGACGCATTTGGTTTTCTCTGATTTTTCGCTCGTGCAGACATATCTGCCCGAGTGTTTTCGTTGTTTTCTTTCTCTCTTCTTCTTTCTTTGTGGATTTTCCCACGTTCGTTCTCTCTCTGTCTCGCGTAGTTGTTTTTCACCACACAGATACGCAGATAGTTTTCTTCTCCTTCTCAGTCGGTTCGTTTTCGTTTCGTCTTCCGTTTTTTGTTGTTTTTGTTTTTCATCAATAAACAACGATACAGCCGAAACGTTTTCTTCCAGCAAATCTCTACAGATTTACACTTACATTCCAACCATACATGTATAACTCGAAAAGACATTTCGAGTATTAAAGTTTTCATTCGAGTTTGAGGGTGTGGATGTGGGTGTGGGTGTGGGTGGTAGAAATTGAAAACTCGAAAACTCGAAGCTTCGAATTATAGATTTTAAAAGTTTAAGACTCGAAGAAGATGTTTAAGGGTAGTATTTAACTGGTCAGTATTTTTTTGTGAAAAATCAGTATTTTATTGTAAATGATCAGTTCCATAAATTGGCCAGTAAATAATTCATTCTTGGTCAGTAGAAAAATCGCTTTTGGTCAGTACAAATTGACCCATGACCCGTAGAAAATTTATTGCAATTCAATCATTAAACTAACGCCCAGACCTCCGCCAATCTCACCCTCACCCTCACCACACCCACACCCACACCCACACCCTCATCCTCACCCTTAGTAAATTCTAATCTGGAGTTATAGTTTTCAGAGACATCGGACTTAACTTTCCTTGTAGTACATTTACTAGACAAATACATCGTTAAATCACTAAAAATTATTATGCAAAACAAGCAAATTTAATGGCTGATTAGCACTAAATCTTTTACTGATCATAAATCAATTCATACTGATCAAAAGCGATTTTTTACTGACTAAAAATAACGAACTGACCATTCACAGAAATACTGACCATTTACAATAAAATACTGACCATTTAATTTGTACCCGATGTTTAATACTCGAATCGAGTTAACGATCTCTACACTACTCATTCGAACAACAAAAACGGCACTTTTTCATAATGTGCTTAGCGACCCACAGCGAAAAGTGGAATGTTTACCCGTAAAAAATCACTTTTCTTTTCTCGGTCGACGACAATTCATGACGTTTGCATTTATTTTCTTGAAATAAAGTTTTCTAACGCGTAAAACTGTCATTTTTCTCGCTATTCATTTCTCTGAGTATATAGAAAATCTCAAATAATAAGGTATGTCTATATGTTAGTTTTTTCCCAACTATATCGCAGTATCCTCGATTCCACCATAGACTATATGTATGAGCTACGGAGTAACATCTACAGTGATCAGGATACTTCATTTACATTTTATGTTTTAGACACAATGGCTACAAATGCGCATACCACTGCTGACAAAGCAATCAGTAAAAGTTTTGGATCAATATCACCAGAAGAGATACAAGAAGGGAAAGAAGTATTTGAAACCGATGGTGTAAAAGGGTATGAAGCGTATCTACAAAACAAAATAGATGCATGGAAAACTATTCCTTTAAACATTGGCATCGTTGGGAACGCTGGTTCCGGAAAGTCAAGCTTCATCAATGCCGTCAGAGATTTAAATGGAGATGATGAAGGTGCAGCAAAAGTTGGAGTTACAGAAACAACTAAGGAACCAAGAGCATATTCTCATCCAAATAATGAGTTAATGAAGTTTTGGGATTTACCAGGCGCTGGAACTCCATCATTTCCAAAAGAATCTTATCTCGAACGAATTGGTTTTGACAAATTTGATTTCTTTCTTATCGTCACCCATAAAAGGTTCACTGAAACCGATGCCCAACTTGCACAAGAAATAACAAACAAGGGAAAGCAATTCTTTTTCGTTCGAACGCATATTCAACAGGATATTGATAATGATAAAAAGGCTCATCCAAAAAAGCACAAAAAAGAACAAGAATTAGTAAATGAAATACTTAGAGATTTAAAAGAAAATCTTCGAGCTCTTTATAAAGAAGACAAAGTCTTTCTTATCGACAATTACGAACGAAACAAATTCGAGTTTTTTTACTTGGCGCAAAGTCTCATCGAAGATTTTCCAGATCTTAAGCGACAAGCATTTATTTTTTCCATAAACGCGTTTAGCAAACAAATGGTAAAGGCAAAAGTTAAGGAACTTCACTCGACAATACGGAAATATAGTGCGTTGTCCGGTGTGGTGGCTGCTGTCCCTGTACCTGGCCTCTCTTTCGCCGTCGATCTAACGTTCATTCTTAAAGCAAGCAAGTTCTTCTTTAATCAACTTGGCCTTGACGAATCTTCCCTGGAGAGAATGGCCAGCCTTACAAATACAGATCCATCGACATTAAAAACCATTGTTAAAAAGAATTTTGATGTGAGCTTGCTTCTTACATCACAAGGGATCAAGGAATTTCTGGTTACCATCCCAGCTGTATTGTTTTCAGATGCAGCCGAAGAATATTTGCGTTTGATTCCTGGTATTGGCCCATTCATTGCAGCACCAATCTCAGCTGGTACTACTTATTACATTCTCAAGCGTATCCTGAAGAAAATGGAGGAAGTCGCCTTACTAGTTCTAGAAACGACTACTCAGGAAGTTTCCATCGATGTGGCAGATGAAGAACAAAACTAAATCAATACTGCTTCATTCCCGAAAGGACATTGTCGAAGGCCGGAAAAGTAAGGCGTTTTCTGTAACAAGAATTTGAATTAAATAAACTACACGGAAGATTCTTCAGTTCGAAGACTATCGCCTCGTATCATTATAATCCATAGTGTCACATAGTACCTGAACGAATACTTCAATAGTCTAATACTCATTCTGTAATAACTGCTGTAATAATTCTGATACCAGAATTTATCCGAGACACTTTCACTTCGATTACGAAAATATTTGGAGGTATGTTCAGATTTCTCTGAAAAGAAATTTCGGAAATTACCTATTAGTATTATTCACTAGTTCCAGATAACATAACATAGCTAAACGCAAAAACACTTCCAATAACAAAAGTAAAGTAGAAATTTCGGTAATTTCAGAAATTTCGGTAATTTCAGAAATTTCAATGATAGTTCATGAGAAATATTCATTTATCCAGAGAGACGAAGGGTCAGATTCAGTAGAAATTTCGGTAATTTCAAAAATTCCTATTGAATCTTACCCTCGTCCTCTCCAGATAAATGAATATTTCTCATGAACTTTCATTGAAATTTCTGAAATTTCCGAAACTTCTACTGAATCTGACCCTTCGTCTCTCTAGATAAATGAATATTCTTCATGAACTATCATTGAAATTTCTGAAATTACCGAAATTTCTACTTTACTTTTGTTATTGGAAGTGTTTTTGCGTTTAGCTATGTTATGTTATTTGGAACTAGTGAATAATACTAATAGGTAATTTCTGTAATTTCCGAAATTTCTTTTCAGAGAAATCTGAACACTGCTGATGATTCGTCATGAAGAAAACAGTTCAAAGATAACTTTTTCAACGCGAAACAGAATAATTGAAACTTCATAATGTTTTGATCTGTATGCTGTATAATATATTTCAGTTTCGTAACTACTTTGGCTGTTCGTGGAAAACGATTTGATAAGAGAAGAAGAAGATGCGGATGATAATCGTCTCACTTCTTCGAGATATCATATTAAATTCAAAATTGATTCCCGATATGTCGTTTTGAAAGTGATATTTACGTACAAGACAAATAGCAACACTTTCTCGTACTTTGCTTCTGCTCTCCTTATTCGGGTACACAGTATTTTATCCTAGTTTTTCTTTCTTATGTTATATTTATGACAGAACGAAAGAAGAAAAATGCACGACATACGACAAGAAAAGAAAAGGCAAACTGGATCATTTATAAAACACGTGGGCTTCTCTGCGCAACACAACGGTCTTTTCTTTTCAAAAAACATCGCTTCAATAAACAAAATGCAGAATAAGAAAATAGCAGCGAACATTTTCACGATTTTAAAGAGCAGAGAAGCAAGAAAGGTCAAAACTTCTACTCACATCCGAATTGTTTTTCCATAAGCAAAACTAAATTCGATATCTTTTAACACAACTTAACAGTAAGTTCGATCGCTTTTCTTTCGAAATCTCCATATATATAAGTATGCATTCTTTTCTATTGTATATCACATTGTGTTTGTGTGTGTTCGCTCATGCGCATACAAGGAGAATCTACATAATTGTGAAGATCGAATTATATTGAAGATTTTCTTTTCTAGATGACAGCGACAATTCCCTCGGTAATTTCATGTCAAGAATTGAAAGATTTGCTTCAATCATCATCACAATCGATTGCAGTACTTGAAGCGGATCTTGGCAAGCAAGTCGAGGCTGATTTCAAAGCGTAGATAATTTCGAATTACTTAATTTTTCGATCAGCGTTTGTATTTCTTTTAGAGGTCATATACCCAAAGCTCGATATTTTGATCAACTCGAACATACAACGCCAACCGCATTTATTCCACGTGGTTTACCAGATGTTAAATCTTTTGAAGATTATCTGACACGTTTGGGTGTTTCAAATGATCATCATATTATTCTCTATGATCGATCAGCAAATGGCTTCTTCGCTGCAAGTCGTGCTTGGTTTTTGTTGAAGGTAATCAGATGATTCCTTTTCAAAACTTAGAGAAAATGTCGTGTTTAGACGTATGGTGCCGATAAAGTGTCGATTCTCAATGGTGGATTCAATGCATGGAAGAAAGAAGATAATGAAATAGAAAAATCGGATGAATCGAACGATTCAGCAAAAGAAGGACAGGTAAAATATCGTAGATAAAAGAATGTTTTATGCACCATTTCATTCATTAGACAAACAATTTTACTGTCAAGTTAAACGAACAAATGGTACGAAATTTCGATCAAATGGTATCAAATATATCTTTGGATAAAGATAATCCTGAACGTATCCAAGTATTCGATGCTCGACCACCGAATCTATTCTATGGTATGTTACATTTATTTTCAGAGAAAGTACATTTTCTGTGCATCGTTTAGGTGCTGATGCTGGGCACATGCCAAATGCAGTTAATTTGCCTTATCGATCTTTATTCGACCAAAACCAACATTTGAAATCAAAAGAGCAATTAACACAAAGTAAATTGACGATTTGTACAGATTTCTCACTGCATTATCAATCTTAGTATTTGACAAAGCTGGTGTCGATTTGTCGAAACCTACGATATATACCTGCCAAGGTGGAGTAACAGCTAGTACACTAGCTTTTGTTGCTCAACTTCTCGGTCAACAGGAACCATCAGTTTATATGGTAAGAAAGGGACTATTTTAAATGCAAAAAAAGAAACAGGTTTTTATGTTAGGGCGCATTTACTGAATGGCAACAACGCGCTCCTGCTGATTTAATAATCAAAGGCGATGGAACACCCACTGCCCAATGAGAACTGCGACTGACTTCTATTTATCATATAGCCATTTTCTCTCTTATTCTTTCAATAAAATCATAACTATTATGGTCTCATAGATAACTCCTGTTCGCAACAGTAGCTAAGCCAGAACTTTTCGATGCGATCGTTCACATACTAAGCACAGTTTCCGTTTCAGCGTTCTGCGTAAATCCGGATATTGACATAAAGATGCAAATGGAAACAGAAACACAACGAAATAACCAAAGTAGAAGAAATAAAGCTCAGGTTGAATACCAAAGTCAGATGGTAATCCAAATCGACGAAGAAGTGGAATGAAGAAAATCGGAGTGTTGAGAGAGACATCGAGAGCAGAAACTAAAGTTAACTGAATGATCATTCGTCGTTGTTTAGACCACCGATGGATTCCTACATTCCAAGGACGTCGATTAGAGATCCATTGATCATAGAAGATCAGAATGTGTCTCTCGATGGCTAACCAGGACATGAGAATAATCTGTCCACAATAAAAACCATAATCAATCAACCACCATATTCGACACATGATGGGTATTGTGGGTAAAATAGTACCAAAATGAAAGAAGACAAGATACATGTTGATATCGATGAGTTGAATAGGTAGACCAAACAATAAGATAAGAAGAATCGTATGATTATGCAATGCATATCGTTGAGTTCGATTTCCAATGATATAAAATATGAGAGAAAAGGTGTAGATGATTGATCATCCGACAGCTATTCTCTGTTCAATAGCAAAATAGAAATCGAAGGTACACGAACATTTAGAAAGTAGGCGAGTCTGATTAAGTTTTGCTTTTAGGTACCATATAAACTTCTATACGTCTAAATATGTTTTCTTTTGAGATTAAACGCCTATATAACCAACAAGTACTGACAATATTCTTTTTCTCAAAAAGATTTTGACATTTCAGTTTGTTCGTTACTGCATACAAAGTATTTTCATATAATTAGAACAAGTTGTTTTTAGTATGGATATATCTTTGTCTTCCCGTAGGGAGTTGTATGCGACGTTTGTGTCGCGTTACTTGTATATACTGTTCTGACGACTACTGCCATACGATTTACACAGGCTCCTATTCCTTTAATCCTCTTTATAATACTTTCAATGAAATTTCATCAATGTGTTCACATTGGAATACTGTATGCAAAAAATAAAAATCTTTATAATTACATTACTTCTGTGCTAAGCATCGGGTCAAGCATTTTATAGCTTCTTGGTTATTATCCTGGTCGTCATACCTGAGTTTTGCACTAAAAGCGAGCCAACTATTGCTTCAGTACTAGAAAATATATGCATGATACCATGAAAAGAAACAAATGAATAAAGTATCAACAGGAATAATATCACACTGTTGCCCTACATCTGTCAAGATCATTTGAATGACGTAGTAAAGTCATTTATCTGCAAGATATTCCTTGAAAAGGGCAGCAGGTATTAATGGGAACTTCAAGAATTACGCCTTGAAATGGTTTAAGGAACGTCAGCAGAGATGTGTGCTTGTCATTCTGCGCTTGACAGGATTATATCAAAAGGATTTTATTAAGAGGAAGGCTTATATAACTTTCTTTTTTTTAATGAAATTCATCATTCTATTCTGAACAATCTTAAGACAATGTTGGAAGGTGAAAATAAACTTATTGGACTTGCTCTCGCTTCAATAACATTTGGTTTTGCAATATGTGCCACCATAATATCATTAATAGTTTCAACAACTCTGATTTATAATTGGTATCATGCTCGTATAAAACAAGATGAGAAAATAACAATTTATCTTTGTATTCATATCTATTTATCGATATTTATATCGACATCAATGACATCAGCAGCGAGTATTCAAACATTGTTAGGTGATTTACTAGGTCAATCATTTGATTCACCATGGTGTATATTTTCAGGATATTTTGCTTTACTCCAAGTTTCCATGATGTATGTGTCATTCATCAATCAGGTTCGTAAAAATGATAGAAATCCAGAAATCTCCTCATTGAGGACTATTTTAGGCATTCTATCGCTTAGTACGAATTGTTTATCCTCAAAGCCAATGTTTTCGTTCAATAAAATTCTATATCGTTCTCACTATAGTTGAATATATATGCACAATTGGTATTCAATGTGTTATTATACCTTGGAATGGAATTATCTATTTAACTAACGATTATTTTTGTTATGTTTCATTTGCAAACATACGCGCGCTCGTCTGGACAGCAATTTTTGCGTATCAAGTTCCGTGTGCATGCACATTAATGATTTACATACGAATAACAATGTTTCTTCGAAATCAAGCAAATAATTTAACAGTGGCGACTCGTCAAAGACAACGTCGAGATTTTCTGATTGTTCAACGAATTTTAATCATAATGACTTTGTTGATTACTTTAGGAATACCACCTATGTTCTTTATTTTGAGATTTGCGGTGACAGGTGATTATCATCCTTTGACACTTCGTGTTTCATGTTTACCAGCTGCAATCTCAATGGCAAGTTTGAATATCGTCTTGATATTTTCTATTCCTCAATTGAAAAGTGTTATTAGAAAATTGTTGACGCAAAATCAAGTAGTAGCAATTAGTATTCGTGTGGTTACAAGAATGCAAGTGAGAACTATTCATGCTAGTAATTGATTTTGTTGTTAATCGGATCAATAAAGTTGAAGTTGTTACAGCTGAGAACGATTATGTATTTAATATCATACTCTTGGCTCTAATAAATAAAAATGACTTATATTATAGCGAGTGTCCTGAGAGTCATTGCCCGAAAAGAAATTATAATATCTCATTTATGGGTTCATCTTATAACGTATTTTTTACCAAAGCTATAGCGCAACGTTGAAGATTGATGCTAGATTTCACGTTGTCAGTTCTTCCAACAGAAGCGTGATGACTCATGCATGTATACGCTTATCTATGTTACTGAAAAATGTAGTGAAAAATTTCCAACAAAATTATAAAGCAAACAACATCGAATGTAATGATTTTTCTCTTCTCACTTCATAGCGGAAGCGGTTTGTGTAAATGTGAGTATCATGCATTTTAGAAAATGATTCCCGAATTTGATGAATATTTGTTAATATTGACAAAAATTCGCTGAAATATTATCAGTCACAGGATTAGAACCTATCATGAGCGACTCTTTTCCTCTCGATCTTTGCAACAAACCTTTATATGTGTGTCAATTATATTAAATTTTTATTTTGCGATGCCGTAACTGAAGATGAATCATGCAATAGTGCGAGAAATATTTTTCTGTCTTGTGCGATTACAAAAGCAATCAATTTCTCCTTGAAAAGAAAAGCCGTCGAGTTTGCGTCTCTCTATTTCTAGTATTTGCAAGAACAGTCGGCAAAAAATTCTTACTGGTATGTCACAATTCCACGCTATCAACAAAAAACTGACTTCATCTGATGTACTAAAAGAGCTGCAATCATTCATCAATGATCTCTATAGTCAGGTTAAAATAGTCAAACCTGATTATTTCAAACCAGAGCATCAAGATGAATTTCTTCGCCTTCGTGCTCAATGTCGGGATTTGATCAATAAAACACGTGGGTTTTGTGATAAAGCCATTCCACCTCTCGAATACGCAATAGCACAATATAGTTCATCAAATCCAGTTAATGTGAAGGATCTGGCTGAAAAAGTTCTTTCTCTAGTCAATCCAAAAGATGTTCTCGAACAATGTGAAAAAGTTGAAAATGCAATAATTACATTCAATGAGCGTCTTCAATTGGATGAATTCTACAAAAAGACAGAAGTCAAGTCTTTTCTTTGCGTTGTCTCTGGACTTGCTCTTGGTATCACATGTTTAATCGGTTTATTCTACGCTCCTGCATGCATAGTCGCTGAGATTGCTGTAGCCAGCTCGGACTCTAGTATTATGCTGTTAGCCATTGATTTATTCTGTTCTGGTTAGTTCTATTAAAACTGAAACAAGAAGTCGTTTATGTCTTGTTTAGGATTTGATCGAAGAAGAGTGGTACATGATTTCGAACAATATAAACAAAGTATGAATCAAGCTGCCGATTATGTCACTAAATTAAAGAAGGAGCTCTCCGATTGTACTCAAAAGCATGGTCGCCTCGACGCTCGTCTCAGCATGAAAGATGTTCATGATCTCAAACCAATCTATGAGAATCTTTTAACGAACATGAATACAATCCGAGATTTATGTTTAAAACCGTTTCCAGGTATCTGAACTACAACTCAGTATGAGACCATTCAACAAAATTTGATGTTACTAAAGTCTTGTAATCAATTGTATCGTTTTGAATAGATTCCACATCAGCTTGATGTTTGCGTAAAAGTTTTCTTTTCTTTTCTTCTCCTCTCTTATCGGCACCCTCACCCTCAAGATGGTTTACATTGTCATCCACGTCTCACCATCGAGTTTTAAAGTTTCGTTCCCTTGTCGACGCTGTGTTACCCGTAAAATTCGAAAAAAAGTCGAGAGATTTGCTATCAGTGCAGAAAATAAATACGTTTTGTGACGATACAAAGAAGGGAACGAAAAATAAACTGCACATGTTAGATAAGAAATGACGAACAGAACAAACCGACACTACAATTGTAATGGAGAAACTATATATCATAGAAGAGAATTTCATGGGGAAACAGCAATGTACTGTATTTGACTAAAACGTTCTGTTCTCGAAAATATTGAAAAATTCCAACGAGTCATTTGTCAATAGTGAACACACATACAAACCATCTTACTTTATCTATTTTTCTGTAAAAATCGGATCGTCGTAAATAGATGGATCAGTGTTGAATTGCGTCTTTTATTGTTAAAATAAGATTTATCGTCAGAATATTACAATGGATGAATGCTTAGACGAATACATTGAAACCGCCCAAAACACACTACAACTGCTGAGAGAATTAGTTGATGCTATCGCAGCACACCATAACAGATGTAATGGAGTCAAAGTCGTAGGCACTACGGCTTCAGTTGCTGGTTCGCTGCTTACCGTCGGATGCATTATTGCAGCACCATTCACTGGTGGAACCTCCATTGTTGCCCTTACTGGTCTGGGTTCAGTTACAGCTATGGCAGGAGCGGTTACCAACTTAGGAACAGACGCTGTTGATATGATTTGGACAAAGAAGTACCAGTCGGATTTAGTTGAAATTGATAAACGACTACAATGTGTTGCAGAAGAATTTGCTTGGTACATGAATCAAATTGAAGCTGAAGCTGCTCGAATTTTCATAAAAACTGGGAATGAGCGAGCAGCAATTGAAGAAGCTTTCCAAGTATTAGTAGCCACTGGAAACATAGGTTTTAAAGGTAAGCAAGTTAGGGACATAGGTAAGAATATGGGGCGAACTACTGGAACCACAATGTTACGAAATGGAGGCAAAGTGTGGAAGGGTATGCGGGTTAATTCTAATTTACTCATGTCTGCATGCAGGAAAATGGGCTTGGATATTTCAAAACGAGCCGCGTTCAATGTGGTGAAGGGTGCTACAGTCGTTGTCGGTGCAGTTTTTATTGTCTGGGACATAAAGTCTTTGGCTGATAGTCTTACTAGTGATCATCCTGCTGCCGAACCTGTGAAGATGCAAATTAAAAACATTGAGCAACTGTTGGAGAACTTGAAAGAGCTGAGAAACTCTTTTTACGAGGAAGACGATGACTAAACTTGTGAAAACCGGCGTATCTTTTTATGTAGTCTTTGTTCAAGTTTGATATAGTTCGAATATTTGATGAAAGAAAAATGATGTCAAAGACAGTTTGTTTCTTCCATGTAAAGAGCATCACAATATGCATAGCTATACACCGATCGTAATCTGCTACAATTCAAAGAAGAAAAACAATATAAGATCGTTCTGCCAAATTCATGGTTTTCTATTCCAACATTTAGCTGTTGGTTATCGATTTAAATCGGTCTGACCAATTTTCACTGAGTATACCCAATTCGAAAGACTATCATAACTCGCTCGAGTTGCATTCGTTCCAAACTTCTTTTGAATACGAAAGTAATGTTAGACACCAATCCATGAATTAAGTTCGAATAAATAATGTCTTATTTTTGAAATTGATATGCACAACTGACAAAATTCGTTGTACCTTGAAAATAGAATTCTACTATTTTACTTTTGTATGCGTTTTCATTAGTTTTACCTATACGACACAATTTGAAGTCTTTGTCATAAGGCAAGAAAACTAGAAATGCTTAGTTTTTCCGTATTTCGAAATTAAGTGTAGGTTTAAAATCCACTTCATAATAAGTTTTTATCTTTCAATATATTATAGGTGGTAAATTCGGTATTTTATATAAGAAACCGTGGAAGTATTCGATAGCTAATTCAATTGTTGGGAATGTTCTGATAAGTAGTTAACATCTGAATAGTTAGAGAAGTATGTCTACGCAAATTTCGTGCTTGCAATGTGCGAAGAAAGTTAATATAGTTTCATTTAATTTTTATGAATTTAAAGGAGTTGACGCTGAGGTGAAAGTGTTCAAAATTCGATGCTCACACCCTCACCCGAGATGCAAACGTATAGTGCACGTGTCTACGAACTTCGTTTAAGACGATTTATTTTGACATATATAAAGAAGATACGCATTTTGTAAATTAGCGATATGTGACCTGTGGTAAAGCTATCGCCAGAGGTTCGACCAGAACTTTTCGATGCGATCGTTCACATACTAAGCACAGTTTCCGTTTCAGCGTTCTGCGTAAATCTGGATATTGACATAAAGATGCAAATGGAAACAGAAACACAACGAAATAGCCAAAGTAAAAGAAATAAAGTTCAGGTTGAATACCGAAGTCAGATGGTAAACCAAATCGACGGAGAAGTGGAATGAGAAAAATCGGAGTGTTGAGAGAGACATCTAGAGCAGAAACGAAAGTTAATTGAATGATCATTCGTCGTTGTTTAGACCACCGATTCGATTGACGAAGTCGACGCTTCTGTCGAGTAACACGAATCACTAGAGCGATGCTGAAAATACCTTCGAATACAATGGGAACACAGCTATTACCGATGGATTCCCACATTCCAAGAATACTATACGATTGATAGCATGGAGATGCTCCACACACAGGTACGGTGTAAATATATACGTTTTCACACGGTAAAAAGAAATTAACAATTGTGTAGAAAAGAATAATATATAATAAGAGAATTGATAATGGGAGATAATGAAAAAGGAATCGACCTCGTCGATTAGAGATCCATTGATCATAGAAGATCAGAATGTGTCTTTCGATAGCTAACCACGACATGAGAATAATCTGTCCACAATAAAAACCATAATCAATCAACCACCATATTCGACACATGACGGGTATTGTGGGTAAAATAGTACCAAAATGAAAGAAGACAAGATACATGTTGATATCGATGAGTTGAATAGGTAGACCAAACAATAAGATAAGAAGAATAGTGTGATTATGCAATGCATATCGTTGAGTTCGATTTCCGATGATGTAAAATATGAGAGAAAAGGTGCAGATGATTGATCATCCGACGACTATTCTCTGTTCAATAGTAAAATAGAAATCGAAAGTACACGAACATTTAGAAAGTAGACGAGTCTGATTAAGTTTTGCTTTTAGGTACCACACAAACTTCTATACGTCTAAATATATTTTCTTTTGAGATTAAACGCCTACATAACCAGCAAATACTGACAATATTCTTTTTCTCAAAGCGATTTTGACGTTTCAGTTTGTTCGTTGATGCATATAAAGTATTTTCATATAATTAGAACGACTTGTCTTTAGTATGGACACATCTTTGTCTTCCAGTAGGGAGTTGCATGCGACGTTTGTGTCGCGTTACTTGTATATACTGTTCTGCTGACAAATGCTATACAATTTACACAGGCACCTGATCCTTTAATCCTCTTTATAGTGCTATCGATGAAATTTCATCAATCTGCTCACATTGGAATACTGTATGCAAAAAATAAAAATCTTTATAATTACATTGCTTCTGTGCTAAGCCTCAGGTCAAGCATTTTATAGATTCTTGGTTATTATCCTGTTCGTCATACCTGAGTTTTGCACTAAAAGCGAGCCAACCATTGCTTCCGTACTGGAAAATATATGCATGATACGATGAAAAGAAATAAATGAATAAAGTATCAACAGGAATAAGATCACACTGTTGCCCTAAATCTGCCAAGATCATTTCAATGACGTCGTAAAGTCATTTATCTGCAAGATGTTTCTTGAAAAGAGCAGCAGGTACTAATGGAAAATTAAAGAGTTTATGCCTTGAAATAGTTTAAGGAACGTCGGCAGAGACGTGTGCTTCTCATTCTACGCTTGACAGGATGATAGCAGCATGATCTTATTACAGAAAGGCTTATATAACTTTCTTTTTTTAATGAAATTCATCATTCTATTCTGAACAATCTTAAGACAATGTTGGAAGGTAAAAATAAACTCATTGGACTTGTTCTCACTTCGATAACATTTGCTTTTGCAATATCTGCCACTATAATATCATTAATAGTTTCAATAACTCTGATTTATAATTGGTGTCGTGCTCGTATACAACAAAATGAGAAAATAACAATTTATCTTTGTATTCATATCTATTTATCGATATTTACATCGACATCAATGACATCAGCAACGAATATTCAAACATTGTTCGGTGATTTACTAGGTCAATCATTCGATTCACCATGGTGTATATTTTCAGGATATTTTGCTTTACTCCAAGTTTCCACAATGTATGTATCATTCGTAAATCAGGTTCGTAAAAATGATGAAAATCTCCTCATTTAGAACAATTTTAGGCATTCTATCGCTTAGTGCGAATTCTTTATCCTCAAAGTCAATATTTTCGTTCAATAAAATTCTATATCATTCTCCCTATAGTTGAATATATATGCACAATTGGTATTCAATGTGTTATTATACCTTGGAATGGAGTTATCTATTTAATTAACGATTATTTTTGTTATGTTTCATTTACAAACATACCCGCGCTCATCTGGACAGCAATTTTTGCGTATCTAGTTCCGTGTTCGTGCACGTTAATGATTTACTTACGAATAACAATGTTTCTTCGAAATCAAGCAAATAATTTAGCAGCAGTGACTCGTCAAAGACAACGTCGAGATTTTCTGATTGTTCAACGAATTTTAATCATAATGACTTTGTTGATTACTTTAGGAATGCCAACTATGTTCTTTATTTTGAGATTTGCGGTGACAGGCGATTATCATCCTTTGACACTTCGTGTTTCATGTTTACCAGTTGCAATCTCAATGGCAAGTTTGAATATCGTCTTGATATTTTCTATTCCTCAATTGAAAAGTATTATTAGAAAATTATTGACGCAAAATCAAGTAGTAGCAATTAGTGCTCGTGTAATTACAAGAATGCAAATGAGAACTATTCATGCTAATAATTGACTTTGGCTCTAATAAAAAACTGACTTATATTATAGCGAGTGTCCTGAAAGTTATTGCCCGAAAAGAAATTACAATATATCACTTATGGGTCTATCATATAACGTATCTTCTACCAACGCTACAGCGTAACGTTGAAACTTTATGTTAGGTCTCACTTTGTCGATTCTTCCAACAAAAGCGTGATGACTCATGCATGTACACGCTTATATGTTACTGAAAAATGTAGTGGGAAATTTCCAACAAAAGTATAAAGCAAACAACATCGAACGTAATGATTTTTCTCTTCTTACTTCATAGCGGAAGCATTTTGTGCGAATGTGAGTATCATGCATTTTAGAAAATGACTCCCGAATTTGATGAATATCTGTTAATATTAACAAAAATTCACTGAAATATTATCAGTCACAGGATTAGAACTTATCATGAGCGACTCTTTTCCTCTCGATCTTTGCAACAAACCTTTATATATGTGTCAGTTATATGAAATTTTTATTTTGCGATGCCACAACTGAAGATGAATCATGCAATAGTGCGAGAAATATTTTTCTGTCTTATGCGACTAGAAAAGCAATCGATTTCTCCTTGAAGAAAAAGCGGTCGGGTTTTGTGTTTCTTTATTTCTCGTATTTGCAAGAACAGTCGACAACAAATTCTTACTGGTATGTCACAATTCCACGCTCTCAACAAAAAACTGGCTTCATCTAATGTACTAAAAGAGCTGCAATCATTCATCAATGATCTCTATAGTCAGGTTAAAACAGTCAAACCTGATTATTTTAAACCAGAGCATCAAGATGAATTTCTTCGCCTTCGTGCTCAATGTCGGGATTTGATCAATAAAACACGTGGGTTTTGTGATAAAGCCATTCCACCTCTCGAATACGCAATAGCACAATACAGTTCATCAAATCCAGTTAATGTGAAGGATCTGGCTGAAAAAGTTCTTTCTCTGGTCAATCCAAAAGATGTTCTCGAACAATGTGAAAAAGTTGAAAATGCAATAATTACATTCAATGAGCGTCTTCAATTGGATGAATCCTATAAAAAGACAGAAGTCAAGTCTTTTCTTTCCGTTGTCTCTGGACTTGCTCTTATGGTATCACATGTTTAATCGGTTTATTCTACGCTCCTGCATGTATAGTCGCTGAGATTGCTGTAGCAGATCAGTTTCTAGTTTTATGTTCCTAGCCATTGATTTATGCTGTTCTGGTTAGTTCTATTAAATTGAAACAAGAAGTCGTTTATGTCTTGTTTAGAATTTGATCGAATAAGAGTGGTACATGATTTCGAACAATATAAACAAAGTATGAATCAAGCTGCTGATTATGTCACTAAATTAAAGAAGGACCTTTCCGATTGTACTCAAAAGCATGGTCGTCTCGACATTTGTCTCAGCATGCAAGATGTTCATGATCTCAAGCCAATCTATGAGAATCTTTTAACGAACATGAACACAATCCGGGATTTATGTTTAAAACCATTTCCAGCTATCTGAACTGAAACTCAGAATGAAATCATTCATCAAAATTTGATGTTGTCTGGTTTTGTAAGAAAAAAAGGAAATCATCGTCTTGTAATCAATTGTATCGTTTTGAATAGACTCCACATCAACTTGATGTTTTCGTAAAAGTTTTCTTTTCTTTTCGTCTCCTCTCTTGTCAGCTGTCTCATTCTCAAGATACTGTCTAGTTAGATTAAACATTGGATGAGTTTTAGTTCTTAACGGACGCAACTCTGATTGATTCTGAAGGGAAGGGTGAGTGACAGTGGCGGTCAGATTTTAAGTGTGACTTTTGCAGTGTCATTCAGATCTCAACATCGAGTTTTAAAGTTTCGTTCTCTTGTCGACGCTGTGTTACCCGTAAAATTCGAAAAAAGTCGAGAGATTTGCTATCAGCGCAGAAAATAAATACGTCTTGTGACGATACAAAGAAGAGAACGAAGAATAAACTGCACATGTTAGATAAGAAATGACGAACAGAACAAACCGACACTACGATTGTAATGCAGAAACTATATATATATCATAGAAGAGAATTTCATATGGGGAAAAAACAATGTATTGTATTTGACTAAAGCGTTCTGTTTTCGAAGATATTGGAAAAAAATCCAACGAGTCATTTGTCAACAGTGAACACACATACAAACCGTCTTACTTTATCTATTTTTCTGTAAAAATCGGATCGTCGTGAAAAGATGGATTAGTGTTGAATTGCGTCTTTTGTTGTTAAAATAAGATTTATCGTCAGAATTTCACAATGGGGCATGTCCACGTAAAGTGACACTTCACTGATCAGGTTTTGAAAAATTTTTTTTTCAATAACAGCGTTTCTAAATACTGTTTCAGATGTAGTTTTTAGCGCTGATTACGAATCTGACGTTTATTTTGTTCGTAGTCGACTTTTTTCTCTAAGAAAATATTTTTCAAGCTTTTTCATAATCGTATTTTGGGTGGTCTCAGCAAAAAATCTCCTTAAAACATNTAGTACCAAAATGAAAGAAGACAAGATACATGTTGATATCGATGAGTTGAATAGGTAGACCAAACAATAAGATAAGAAGAATCGTATGATTATGCAATGCATATCGTTGAGTTCGATTTCCGATGATGTAAAATATGAGAGAAAAGGTGCAGATGATTGATGGAACATTGGCGAGTAGCATCAACCAAAAGCGAAGTAGACGAGGCATTGACACTTCCGCATTGACAAATGCACTATCAGCATTCGTATCAGAGGCATTGTTATCGGACATCAATAAATGTTTTGATTTTGTGATAACTTAGACCTAAACATAAACAAGCAGCGGATATTTCGAATTCAAATAAAGAGTCGTGATGTGTGAAGCACAAACAACACGTTAATTATTTTGTTCTGATATTTTATATGTCATATACTACTTGTAAACTCATGGTTTCTGCACTTTTATTAGAAAGAATATTCGTAAGTGCGTTGATTATTCACGATAACTCGTACTGAAGAACTATGAAACTATTACACTTTGAATGCATCTTGGCATTTACTACTCATCGAAAAATCTCTTTCAACCGAGATATGAGAAAGTCTTTCTCGTCGTTTAGCCAATGTTTTACAAAGTAAAGAAGTCTTACGATGTTCATGCCACCGATGAACGATTGACAAAGAAAGGACAAAACTATCTGTCTTTTCTTTTTCTTAAAGAAGATTATATTTCTTTTTCAAGGTTTCACGAAGTAAACTATGAATGACAGCCAAGCTCTGTCCTTTCTCAGATTAAATCTGACACGTCTCTCACTGTAAAAGACGGATAAACTAGTCGCTCTAGGTGAATACTCTTAATTTGATTTTAGATGTTCACTTCTTCATCATTGACAAAGCCAAATATTCTAATACAGATTTTGTATGAAGGTAAAGTTCAACATGACAATGAATAATCAAATGTTCCAAAACGAGTTTCATGATAATATCACACACATTTACTGCTACTGTCATTCGCCATGTATGCAGAATGAACCCGTGTATTTCTTTAGAAAATCGTTTTTCTGATTTGTTTTGAAGTACAAAACTTGGGTATGTTCAAGAACATCTCTCGAAATCCTTTCGTGCTGAAAAATGTAGAAACGCTCCAGCTGAAAGTCTTCAGCATTCGAGGACGGTGTCAAACTAATAACATTGCTTACGTAGCTCGAGAAAAACATTATCGAATTGTCTCACAAAAGTAAGATCATGCAAACGAATGATATAACTACTGAACGATAAGTACAAGCATATGTTTACATAAAACCGAATGATTATCATAATCTGTTGTTTTTCAGATCGTATTCCACTTATCCATATGCTATATTCCTCTAGTTTCAAGTTCCCAGGAAAATTTACTGTAGAAAAGTTCGCTAAACTTGTTCCTGACGTCTGTTTCGCATCTGACAATTGACGAGGGTTCTCTGAAAAAAACATGAATAAGAAGCAAATATTTCCCTCTAAGTTTAACATAGGGGAAGCTTTCATTAGAAAAATTACAAAAGTGCTCTGTTCTGTAAATAACTAATCCTCATATAAGAAGCATATGAGCGATTTTATCAGCTGATGCTATACTAAATGAAGATCATTACAAAATGATTTTTTTAGAGTTTCACAACCTTTCCTACTAGCAAAAAAAAACAGATTCGTTTTAGTTTCGATGTACAACAACTTCAAAGTTTTTACAACTATTATTCAGCAATCATGAAAACTAACATTTCTCAATAAGCTGAAGTGCGAGGTGATCTAATGGTATGTTGCTTTTGAAAAGGCTGCCAAAAAGAATGTAATCCAGAAGAATCCGAACCTTGACAACGCAGCCTGTGTGTGTGATTTACTTCATAAAGTGCAACGTATAAAGGGATATCAACAAAAAATCATCATGCGTTCAAGTGGCTGATGGTAATGCATTATATGTGAGATTCAAGAGTTTTCTATGAATAAAAGTATTGATTTTCTCTTCGCATGAGATAAAAGCTGCAACTTTCTTTTTATATTTCAACAAAATGATGGTTATAATACAAATCTCTTGAAGATATCACTATTCGACACAAAAAACTTCAAAAAACGTATGATTTTATCCGCTAATATGACAGGATAAATATTACTACTTCTTTTTCACATGTTCTAAATTTTTCTTCTGCAGTAAAAGGTGGGGATGGTTTAGTGGCAGTAACTATTTAGCAATTTCTATACTATATTCAAAAAATAAGTAAGCTTTTGAATAATCTCTCATATCAAAATATACGCCACTGACGCTGCTGTAGGATAATGCCAGATGGGGATGATTTCCAAGAAGTGACTGTTGTAGAATTGGACGAGCCTTCTCATGATACTCGAGTGTTTTTTCGAAGAGCTCTATTGCTTCTATAATAAAACAAGGTCTGTCAATGAACTGCTCTATGTTTCTATGAAGGTCGCTGATAAAAAAAGAGTACCTCGTGTATACCACCAAATCGGTTTCTTTTCACGATAGTTGCGCACGAGTTGTACAACATCATTCAATCGTTTATCGTCAAGATTTAATAGTCCAGGACAAGACTTGACGAACTCTACAATATATTTGTTTTCGAAATCGGTGATTAACAGTATCTCTTTGAAGAATTGTGTGTACATAAACGATGGATCGAGCTGATCTAGTCTTTGCCCAGGTGCTACGAAACCCATTGGTATAGCATTTTGCTCGTATCGACGAAATGTACCTTCAATGCCTTTGCAAAGTGATATTGCGTCAATCAAGATACCCTTGATCTTCTTACCCATGTCGTCGATAGCGATAAAATAGCGGCGTTATAATGCTCACATAGCGATCGCATTGTGACCCCTTTTAGCGATCGTTATGAACATTATAGTGCCGCATAACGTTGTTATAAACTGTTATTGCGCGTTATAGTGCCGTATTTTCATGTGTTTGGATACCAAACACTCTCCTTCGTAATAGTAAATCTTACTAAATAAAATATATTCCGTTTTATTTAGAAACATATTTGACAATTACTTTTCAACTTTTATTTTAATTAAGTCGAGTGACCGATTACATAAAAATAACAAACACTCGTGCTAAAAAATCGGTTGTCCCATTGTATAAATGTGGTTATTGCCATTACTATTCGCATTTCTTACCCAGTAAGATTCCCCAAAACCAATTAACCGACATGTATTGTATATAGTTAGTCTTGCACTCGATTTCGATCGAAAACAATCTGCAAATAAAAAGAATTATACAAATGATTCGACTATTATCTGAAGTTAATTC